ATTGCTATATCATATTCTTTGGTGGGAGTACCGATGAAGCAAACGTATATTTGCTATAGCAATCGACTAAGTTACTTATTTTCGTATTAGAGTAGAGTTTCGAGACTACCAGTACTTAGGCTTAAATGTGAGGTCTACATATCTGGCAAAAGTTTGATTTTAGATCATTCCATCTGTTGCCCTGTAATAAATATATGCTCAGCCAGCTGCGAGTTCTGGACCCATGAACCATTGCAGACGGATTTGCGTTGTTACAACAGGTTTCCTTGACATAAACACTGCCACATGAGCACAAACTCTTTCAACAACACTTATCTGTAGAGGGCACTTGAAGATTCGATATCAGAAGGAATCACCGAGGAAAGCATTAGTATTTCTTTATGTATGATCCTGACGTTCCATTTCTTCAGTAATTCGCCCATCTTTTTCGAAAGTTGGTAGGGCGGTAGCACTACTCAACTAAGATTTTCCTTAGCTTTTCTAATTGTTGAACCTTGAGATCTACGCCCAGTAGACGCAAACTCCTCGCTAGCCTTGTTGTCATAACCCCTAATTTAGCTTTATAAGTATGATTTAAGAAGAAACCAAGAAGAAATCCACACTTGTGGGTTCCCCATACACACCCTTACCCGGTTTATTCCCCTATTTAATTACTAGTACAACTCAAAAGTATAACTAACTTTCTTTTTCTAACTCCACAACGAAGTCAGCCGTCCTAGCCTAAGGAAGTCTTCCAGCCTCTCCTTGCCATACTGCCGGATAGCAAATTAATCATCCATATAACTAATTAATGATAATGAGGAGTGCCCTTTTTATAGTTGCTTCGACTTCGTTTTCGCAACTTGATCAAGGCGTCAGTGAGATATTGTGGATCATACTTAGTTCTGTGTCCTCTGCCATAGTATTAGTGATGTCCAGCATAGGAACATTGACTTGGTACATTGCAAAACCTTTCGCCTGAATCGTTAGTGAGAGCCGCCATCGTCAGCACAGAGTTACATTTTATGAAAGTGACTAGGGAAGGCACTCCTCGTCCCTATCTTTTGCTCAACCTTCCAGTGCTGCATTTCCTTCTCTCAATCACATTTCATATGGCCCATCTAGATATTCACACAACTCCGTGCTCTCTCCAATCTCGCCCAAGAGTTTGCCGCTAGAAGTGGGCTTAGTGAAGCTGTCTGACCGTCTGAAATCTGTTCATTTATGATTACGCCATAGTCGAGGATTTGGAGCATATGGTTCCCATGTCCTTGCCCATGCCATTACCTGGGAATTTTCCTCTCCCTAGGCTTCACATCTTTCTTAGATCCACCCACATTATATCTCATTCTTTGGGGCTCTGTGTCCGGCTTAGTTCACAACTGCTGGTATGAAAATGCATCGCTTCCCTTTTTTCCCCTCCTGAATCGCGAAAAGCACACTCATCTCGTACTTCACATTGGCACTCCCATCTAATCCTAGGGTACAAGACTTTTCATGTGTATGTGCTAGCCAAGCATGTCACCAGCCATCTACCCTTAGACACAGATACTAAAAATGCACACAAGCACACACGGATACACTGGTAACCCATATCTGACCCACCTATACTTGTAACCTTTGATTACTTATCCCCCATTATAAATTTTTTTCCGATGAAATCCCCTTTTATTGACTTCCCTTTGTCGCTTGGCGACGTCTCTTCCTGTTATTGAACAGTTGTCCTGAGTCCAAGCGTCTTCTTGTTGATGTCTTTGCTGAATCTCCAAGTCTGCTCAGGCCTTACGCGAAATTGTCGCATACTTTTCCCACTTCTGGCCTCCTGCTCATCAGGTTTCTTTTAAAGGGGATGTTTACAACTTCCCTGATCTCCCATTTCCTTGTGTTTCCCCCGCATGAAGCCTGTCTTTTCATTGCTTTCCAGTCAATAGTGTGGCCGGTAAGAGCGACGTGTTCAGCTATCTGTGCTTTTTCAGTATGCATTTTTCTGCATGGTCGCTGGTGTTCTTTGATCCTTATGTTGCTTGTCCTTTTTATTTACAGTCCTTGCAGTTTGCGCAGTAAACTGCGCAACACTCAATTTTGTTGACTTACTTGTATTGTGCAGTAAGAAGAGGGTTGTCCTTTGTAGTAAAACTGGGTTTACAAGAATCTCTTAATAGCTCTATGTTGGAATATTTTGTATAAACTAGCTATGCCCATTTAGTGAGTCTCGTGATTTGTTTGGATATTTTAATCTTTTCCTACATGCTGTTGAAAATTGAAGCAGCTACAGATGGAGCATGAAACGGATTCAATTGTTACCGAAAAACTGCATCCTCCCCTAAAACACTTGTGCCTTTGAACCTGCAATGTTACCGCAAATCTCAGAGCGATGCGCCGAGGACCTATTTGCACAAATCTACAACCACAGCTCCAAGGCAACTCCCGCACAGAATCCGGTGGAACCAACTTACAAATCGCTTCCACTCACCTCTTCAAATGAAATGAAGGGTACTTCAACAGGGTTGTCCTTTCCCTCAGGATTGGCTTGCGAGCCGATTCGCACGAGGGTAGACATATCCTCTGCTCCTCTTCCCTTCTTTTCATAATCTTCGTCCTTCCGACTGTAATCACAATTCGTATGTTGCGTTCTATTGCTTCTTTTGGATATCAGTTTCCAAGAGACAGCTGAGTTAATTTTTCCAGGCCCTCTTCCCAAAACTCAGAATCTGTGAGTCGTAAGCTTCCTATGACCATATTCCGAAATATTCCCATCTTCATCCCATAAGGATGGTTTCGCTTCTTTCGGAAAAGTCTATTCTTGACAGTTTCCTCGGAGCGAATGATCTCTACATACCAAAAAGGTAAGTGTCCATTCTCATCCACATAGTAAATTTGACTTTTTCA